TATTTTAATAATCTATTATTTATTATAGTCTTAGTGATATAATAAGAATTAGACAATGATTATTTTATGGTCTTCCCTCTTCCATTCGGGCATAATACGTTTCCACCAAAAGTAGACCTTTCCCTTGTCCACCAAATGAGAACCATCTGGTTTAACCACAGTTAATTTACCAAAATAATTTGTATACTACGCTTATATTAAAACCTTTAATACAGTAATAAGTTTATTTAAAATACTATAATGCTGGATTGAAAAAAATGTATTTATCTATGTATATATTTCACCTACTCAAATATATAATTGGTTGATATTATTTTCAATCGTAAAATACTTATACTTTTCATGAATTTTCCGGATTGATGTAAAATGTATATATATATATATAAATATACACACAATATAATCAATACCTATATATTGTACGTTTATCGGTTTTTTCACATTTTTGTATCTGACCATTTACAATTATATCATAATAATTATTATATAAGTATCAGAGGCGCGCCGAACACTATGTTAAGGTCGGGCCATGGCCCGACATATTTTGAAAATTTAAGATAGGGCCGCTTCATATTGATCATTTTCTTCAACACGGTATGCCATTTTTTCCGATATTAAGATGTTGGGCCTCTTGAAATATTTTTCGCCSTACTAGATTTTTAGGACTTCGACGCCACTGATAAGTAGCATACAATTGTTTTTGGTAAAAACGTRGTAAATTATTTTATTTGGTGGAAACGGATATTGGTAGGAAAGTGAAAGATACACTTTTGGTGGAAATGGGTTATTGGTGGAAAAGGGAAGGTCTACTTATGGTGGAAACGGGCATCGCCCTTCCATCATTCTTGCCCTTAACAATCACTGTCTCTCTTAATGAATACCGGTTCTAGTTTTCTCTATCTGAGTGCAGTCCATAAGACCATAATATATTAATAGATCTATGGTKTAGACGGCGGAGTTTTATGACTAGTTTTAGAACGGCACTATTTTTGACGTTATATACCTGTTATAATTTATWACATTAATATAATGTCATTGTAATTTAATTCATGTTTCATTTAATATTCATAAGCATGTTTTGTTTTGTTTCTATGCAATAGTATCGGCGTGGGAAGAGCACATTTCGAGAAACAACCTCCGAGCAATCTGAGAAAATCCAATTTCTTTCATTTCGTGATCGCACTGTACGACAGATCTCAGCAGCCAATTGAAATCGAACGGACCGCGTTCATTGGATTCATCGAAAAGGATCAGGTAAACTTTCTTATATATAACACCCACATATATATATAAACATTTTTTTTTCTACAAGTTACCACTATTTATGTTTCCTTTACGACTTATCTATGTGCACGTTTTATATAATCGTGCGCACAACGTATATTTGGTACAATGTGTGTGTATACAGACGGCGTGTATTTTACAGTAGGTATATAATATATAATAATATTATATTATGTATGATAATAATATGTTATACCTATTTGTGTAGTACAGCATTAAAACAACAAAACAGGAATACACGACGTTTAGCCCTGTTTTTTATTTATCATTTAAATATAACAGTTTATAATAACGATGTAGTAATATAACATTATTACGCGTGTGTGTTTATTTATACCTATTTACTTATTTTATTTTATTTTAMTTACTTTGTCGTTTTGTTTCGTCATCAATCACCATCCCTAAAATCGGTGCAGCGTGTAATTAATCAAAAACGATTTGGTGCGAAAACCCGTTTGTCATACACCGTGAGCCGAGAGATGATGATTTTAATATAATATGCACAAAACCCGCGATGGGTTAATCCGGATTTTAGTTTATCCCAAAGTAGGTGACGACAATGAGCAACACGATAAATAAAATATTATAATGATATAAATGCAACAAATAACAGTATGATATTATATTCTAATGATTTAATCTTTTAATACACTCAATTAACATTCACTTTGCGTGCTTGCAAATTAAACAAACAGACGCGCATTGATAATATTGTATGTCTTATTGTTGTATGTATAAATAGAGATTAGCCGTTAAGACTCGCGTTAAGGTCTAGTGTCRAATTTGACACCGGATATTCTACGGCCACGCTAAATCCATAATAATTGTATTTCACGTTCCGAAATGCATATTTCATAAATTCATAATGTCCCGTAAAGTAATTTACTAATAATAACAAATCATTTGGATGCGATCGATTGATTTCCCGCTCAATATGGATTTGCACTAATTTAATGACACAATGAATAGGACAATACACTACCTCAGAGAAATATCATACGTCATTTTATGGAGTTCTTGTAAGCGAATTCATCCATATTACATTGACAAGATGTATTGTACTCGAAGTGCACGCGTGCACATCACAATACCATCATAGCCATTTCGGCGATAATAAATAATAATACAACATCGTTAGATACTCGTTCTATGAAGACARCAGTTGCCTTTTAAACTACACAAACATTATTCCATTCCTCCACATATTTTTATTTTTACAACGTGTTAAAAATATAAAATCTCTGAAATCACCCTCGCCATCGTTTTGTCAGATAAATATAATGTTCATTTTGTATGAGTAATGTACAAATTTGCCTAAGCGGTTATTCACCGATTTTTATAATGSTTTAAAATGTAATTTTAGCCATCTGACAATCGGAATTTCGTGTTCACAATTACCAGACTTCAGATTGATACTGGCGTAAACCACGCGATTAATGTGATGGCATTAATTTCTTAACGTCTGGCAATAAAACATAGTGTCCAACAAACATGTGCAATGTCATCAGAATCTGTTATTATTAGTAATAATAAAATATTATGTTTGAATTTTTATAACGATGCTCTGGGATATGACATTTCRTATATAAACGCGATTTATCATATTATCATAATTGCACTCCTCGAGTTCTCGACTTAATAGTGCACTTAATATATCTGTATTAGGTTCTTAACAGCCGCAGTCAACCACCAGTCATCTAGTGCAATCGGTAGGTTTTTTTTTATTTGCCAGACCCGAAACAAAATAATGGACCTAATCGATTTCAGTCTTAACGATTGCAGCTTACTATATGTACAGAAGACATTAAATTTGATTAGTGTGTCGCGGTTATATCCGCATGCGGACGGAGCGCGTATGTATATTATGTGCATATCTATATGTAAGTATAACACACACACCCATCACCCACGTCATATTATATACCCACCCATTATGTTTGCGTATAGTGTTCGCAGTCGACGGCGCTCGTCGTTTGTTATAGACTTTCGTGGATGAGATATATATATATATATATGTATATAAATATATAGCGATAAAGTTCATGTTCCGATAAGTCAAAGTCTGTTTGTTTTGATGATTTTCCGTGCTCGCACAAAACCCGCTGCTGTACTACATAATCAAACATGAATCTTGTATGTACGTTTCAGGAATCCGAGTCGCAGAAGACCAACAACGGTATTCAATATAGACTGCAGCTGTTGTATGCTAACGGTAATGAACGTACGCTATCCCTCAAAAGCTAACCAAGCTAATACCGAAACTGTTTTATTTATTTAGGTGTGCGACAAGAACAAGACATTTACGTGAGGCTCATCGATACCGTTACCAAACAAGTGAGTAAATTTTTTTTTTTTTTAAAGTTGTAATTAATATTATATTAGGCTAGTATAGGTATAATAATTGTTTGGGGGGGGAGGTCTATACTTTTAAATTATGTGCAATTTTATTAGGTAGGTACATACAAGATACACAAACAYTCGAGCTATAGAAATCTAGTGCCACAACTGATATAAAAATAAGTGATACGTAAAGCACTAAAGCGTTTTTTCTGCGTTTCTGCAATCCGATCATTTGTGCTTTTATTAGCGTGCAATGTTTGATAGGGACRATTTTCAGTTCGAAAGCGATTAATCGCGATACGTATGTGTTGTTGCTGGGATACTCGGGTATTCCTACTACACTATATAATGACTTTAAACATAAATCGATATTTACCAAACGGTAATTTAGCAGTTGCAAATTACTTTATCGTCAGACAAAAAATACGGAAGGATGGGCAAACTTTGTACGTGTCACGTGTAGGTATACCCTTTATTCCTTTATTGAACGATCGTAGAATATCAAAAAATGTTCATACATTGAAGCACGTATTTCGCCTTAAATAGCAAACCTCAACGCGAGCTCTACATTATGCGTACCACCTGTATCTATTTAAATATCATAATATTATACTATTTGGATAAAATAAAACGTTCTAAACGTTCTCATCATGGCAAAAACGAAAATCGCTCCGAGTGAGGCTGCGGATTCATGAATTACATTATTGTTTTACATAATATTTATATACCTACCGTTAATCGAATACCGTATAATTACGACCGTTTTGTATTATGACCATTGGCTGGTACAATCTCTACGCCCTGCAGTTTGTCAATCGAATTCAAAAATTATATACCTATTCATATTATTATCATTTATTATATTGTGTGTACCAACTACCAGCTAGTATACATTTATATACGTTTTTGCGGCGAAAAAATACAATCGRATCCAACACAAAGCGACACGTTCGGTTACGTAATTATTATTTGCGTTGCTGTTTAGGCACGCAAGCTTGAACGTATGTATTGTGTAATATATAATATAGTAGATGGCTATACCTACGTACGCGTGTGTTCAAAGAGACGATATGATTTAGAGCAAACAACGAATGATTTTTTCATTCACTTGGTGTACAAAAAAAAAGTTTTATTTGCGTTTAATTCCGAGTTTTTCATTGTAGAAAAGAGATGTCGTCGACGAAAAGGGTCGAGGGGTAAATCCGTAGTAAAGAACCGACGTCGAGAGTGGTTTATACGATATTGTATAGAGTCTATACTATAGACGTATAGTGTATACAAATGTATAATATATTATATACTGACTGTAGAGTATGTATATATATTATATTTTTTTATAGACGCTAACGAATCCGATTTACGTGCTATATATTTATATAGTTTGTGAGAGAGAGATATGGTTAGGTTAGGCACACGAGAAGGTCGTATAGGCAAAGCGATCGATGTATAAAACATATAATTAAGCAATGCTAATATATTTTATAGAGCAGCTCAATCCAACATTTTTCATCTTCGTCTCGATTATATATATATATATATAGTAGACAACATGGTTTTATGATGTTCACCGCGCGTGAAGTATCCTTTCGGTTGACGAATTTATTCTTCAAATGTAAATTATTACGAATATTCCGTTATTGGAATTTAATTGTATATTAAAGAAAATACTATGGAAAACGTAGCTCTTGACTTTAATAATACATAGATATTTAATTTTAGTTTCAAATTTTCTGTTTTCAAAAATATGATTAAAAAAAAAAAAAAAACATTTCCATGGACGTTGATACTTTTCGAGAAACTAAGTGTTTACCTTTAAAACAACCACTCCGATCTCATGTATCATGCAACGTCCAACAGTTTGAATTTGTTTACATTGCAGAGGTTTTCGTTATCCATCGAACGCTCTTCGCCTTATGTACAATATAGTTTTTATCTCGGTTAGGTGTTATCTCCGGTCCGGAATTTCAGATGCCATTAGCTACGGCCGGGGTGGCTCATTACATATTTGATAGTATTATGATAGTTCTACTCGCAAATATTGCAGACGGATCGCCGCCGTCCGCAACGGGTCGTGTTTGCTGCGGCGATCTTAGGCCCGCGTGTGATTGCAAACAATTTTTAATCATATTTTAATCATCATAATATACAATACAATATTATATTACTCGAACGTCACGTGCGGCCAGGGGAGTGCAAACGCGTGCGTGCGAGTGCAGTGGCGGCGGCACGTGCCACGCCTCCCCGTTTCCACCGCCACCGCAGACGCCGCCGCCACAATCTGATCCTCTCAGTGACGCGCGTCGCTCACCGCCGCCACTGTCCGTCCGACGTACGCCCACTAAACGGCTTTATCAACACGCATATTATTATACATGATGTTTTATTTATACATATACAATATATATGCATGTATGTATGTATGTATATAGATGTATACATGCACACGACCATCGTCGTCGTGTTTGTGACGATTATTATTACGATTACGTTCGTTATTTAAAATCGATGATTGAGGTCCGTCTACCACGCAACCCTATTCGAACATCTCTTGTTTTATTTTTTCTCGTGTTGCCCCCGCCCTCGTACAGTTTATAAACTCGTCATGATATGCGTAAAAACAAATAAATATATATGTGTGTGTGTATGTGTATATATAATGTATAGGTACCTACGTGCATGCTTGAGTGCGCTTTATACTCTGTCGTGTATTACCCCTGTAGTGATCGCCGTGAAGGACACGTTGAGCACAATACAATTAATTATTTAAACGACGTAGCACGTCTTGTTCAATTGCGAGTAATACGGCCTCTTCGAAATTAGTAATATTACGTGAAAGTAAAATTACTTGAATGGGTGCTGGGCACTTATAAAAACACTGAACGCGTGTTCCCTTACCGATTGCGCGTGTATTTTCGCTTCCGCTGGGTTTTTGCCTATAGTTAAAGYGTGCGTTAATTCATGATACACTTTTTCTATTCGCTGTGCGAAATTTTTTATTGATTTCGACGGGCCTATTTTCATTGTATTTAATTGTCCCCTTAAATATTGCAGAGAATGCGACGTGCAAAACATGGTACCTAGATGTGTTTTGAGTTCTTCCCATGACGTAATTTCACGATACCTGACTGCCTCGAAAGCTTTTCCCTTAAGCCTTGTAAGTACCGCGTCTAAAGCATCAGATTTCATACTATCCGGAATTTTTCCAAACACAAACTCACATTGTGAAATAAATTATGCTAGATCAGTTTCACTTCCCCCTGCGAACTCATGAATAAACCTTAAAGCAGTTATGAAATCTAATTGGTTTGTCATAATGTTAGTTTCGTCTAATAAATTACGCCTAATRGTTTGGTTTAAATCTACCAATTTATTCGTATCACTTGTATTCTCAGTTCCCTCGGATTCAGGTTCCTCTAACAAAGCTGGATCCTTTTCACTTGGTYCTTTACTCTTCGTATACATTTACTGTTAACTCACAACAGATTTGACATAGTATAACAATAATAACTTACACTTTGTTCATTCTGCTGGATTTGAAAGAATGCGTCCTTGAAACTGCCTTGGTTCCTTGTGGAAATTATGTTCTCCGTGGACTGTATTCCGTGAACAAGCTCTGCTGGCTTGTGCTGCTCAAAAACCAAATTGTTGCTACAATCCGGCGTGAATCTCTTGACTGATGTTGAACGTGGTTCGTCGGCGGGACTCGAATTACTYAAATTGAAACAAATCAATTTTTACTTCGTTCGATATCAGACCCCACACCTGACACCAAATTTGTGTAGTGATCGCCGTGAAGGACACGTTGAGCACAATACAATTAATTATTTAAACGACGTAGCACGTCTTGTTCAGTCTTGAGATGTTGTGGTTGAGAAAGATAGATAAGAAATAATTGAAAACTTGGTTTTCAATTATTATTAAATAAAATACACAATTTATTGTTACACGTTAAACACAAAATAAATTATAAAATAAACTGTCGTAAGTGTGTTAWGCTTTCGAACAGTGTTGACTATCTTCTAAAAATCATAAAGTGCTCTACCCGTATTTATATATAGGTATTCATAATGACGTACATTCGCGTAGCTACCTAAACTGTTACTTTTGCATTTTTAATGAATAAAAAAAACGACTTGTTATTTCCACCTTTGATCCAGTTTAGGCTTCCACGTATAATATGTACGCATTTACATAATTATTTATGGAATAGGTAAAACAACTTGKTTTTTTCACCTTTGATCTAAAAACGGCTTACACACATTTTTTACTACTAATTATATTTCCCTTTTTATACTTAATATGTATGAATCTATAAATATGTACATTATATTTTGATATATATGTATATATGAATTATATTCTAAATGTATTAATGTCGGGTTTACTACACCCCGAATCCATAAAACACACTAAACAATAAACATGTTATATCCAGGGCCGTATTTAGGAATTTGACACCAAGGGGCAAAAAAAAAATACGCCTCATTAATCATTGTACAAAATACAAATTTAAATTATAAAAAAATTAGCCGCCCGTGGCAACAGTACCATGTAACTCCCTCTAAATACGGCCTGGTTATATCATATTAAAACTCTGATAAACAAATTATGATTTATGATGGACAGGTATCAACTGACAACTCGCTAATCTTCCTAATAAACTAGCATGTATAGCCATATGCTTTTTTATCTATTTATTATTATATCACGAATTAAATATTAATTAATTTATAAACATATGAACTGCGTAASACACTAAAACGTCTTCAATCCCTATGCCACGGATTACAAAAAAATAAATAAATTATATATAGTTTATACTAAACAAAGCTCATTCACTATCTACTTACACAGGTATATTATTACAGCCAAAGCCAAATAGGCTTTCTATATACCTATAAACAACCAACAAACAAACGTTCTCTAAATTTTTTCCACCCTATACAGKAGTAACCCAAGTAACAGACAAATTCCATGCTATACATAAAAAAATT